CCAGGTATGGGAAACTCTCCACTCTCTCCACAACTGCCCCATCACCAATGGGGAGCTGAGGGGGTGAAGTGTTTGATGGCACGGTTCAGCAGCAGCGCCTCCAACTCCTTCTCTGAGTGAGCAGCAATCACCAGATCATCAGCATACGTAACGTGGTTGATCGATAGGGAGCCATCCTTTGACTGCACCCGGGCATCGATCAGCCTCCCATTGTATATGTACCAGATGGAGATCCCTCCGGTACAGCCATGGAAAGCTTCTCAAACTGCGTGGTCAAAGATGATATTAAATAATGTGGGAGCCAGAGGACACCATCCTCACCACATACACCATCCTCACCACACACACCATCCTCACCACACACACCATCCTCACCACACACACCATCCTCACCACACACACCATCCTCACCACACACACCATCCTCACCACACACACCATCCTCCCCCCCCCCCCCCCCACAGTGCCCCCCCCCCCCACAGTGCCCCCCCCCCCCCCACACACTTGAGACCCCAGGATTGGGGGTTTCATTGTCATCCACCATTGACCGTTTTGTCGTTGTGCAGAATTATTTGGGATCAGAGATCGATCCGAATGTGATCATTGGCGAGGTGTCCAAGGGGGGCGCTTGGCGAATGGGCGGGTTAGACGGCGACAATCGAAACGGCGACGATGCCGATGATGTTTTGCAGATGAGCGCGAAATTGCGGATAAGAGGGCGTACTTGATGATAAGAGTACCACATGTCTGCCCCCCACCCTGCCCCCCACCCTGCCCCCTACCCTGCCCCTTACCCTGCACCCCACCCTGCCCCCACCCTGCCCCCTACCCTGCCCCCCACCCTGCCCCCACCCTGCCCCCTACCCTGCCCCCCACACCCTGCCCCCCACCCTGCCTCCCATACCCTGCCCCCCTACCCTGCCCCCCACACCCTGCCCCCCTACCCTGCCCCCCACCCTGCCCCCCATACCCTGCCCCCCATACCCTGCCCCCCACACCCTGCCCCCCACCCTGCCCCCCACCCTGCCCCCCACACCCTGCCCCCCACCCTGCCCCCCACCCTGCCCCCCACCCTGCCCCCCACACCCTGCCCCCCACCCTGCCCCCCACTCTGCCCCCTACCCTGCCCCCCACCCTGCCCCCACCCTGCCCCCTACCCTGCCCCCCACACCCTGCCCCCCCACCCTGCCCCCCATACCCTGCCCCCTACCCTGCCCCCTACCCTGCCCCCCACACCCTGCCCCCCACCCTGCCCCCCATACCCTGCCCCCCACACCCTGCCCCCCATACCCTGCCCCCCACACCCTGCCCCCCACCCTGCCCCCCACACCCTGCCCCCCACCCTGCCCCCCACACCCTGCCCCCCACCCTGCCCCCCACCCTGCCCCCCACCCTGCCCCCCACACCCTGCCCCCCACCCTGCCCTCCAGGCATCTGCTCGTCCCCGCTGGGAGGCCGTCTTCGTCTCGCTGGGACCCTCGGGGGTGCTGCGCGTTTACCGCGCTCCCCGGGAAAGCGGCCACAACGCCGCTCCTCACCCTCCTCGCCCTCGTCACCCTCCTCACCAGCACCCTCACCAGCACCCTCACCACGAGCCTCACCACGAGCCTCACCACCACCAGCAGCAGCAGCAGCAGCAGGAGGAGGAGGAGGAGGAGCGGCTCATCGCGGCGCTGCCCCTCGCCTCGTGCCTGGCTGACGTCTACTCCAGCGAGACGCGCGGGCAGCACGTGCTGCAGCTGAGCGCCGCCGCAACGGGGCAGCAGCAGGGGCAGCAGCAGGGGCAGCGGGGGCAGCAGCAGGGGCAGCAGCAGGGGCAGCAGCGGGGGCAGCAGCAGCAGCAGGGGCAGGGACGGACTCAATATTTATTCCGAGCGACGGACAGATCAGAGATCCTCGCCTGGATCCAAGCCATTCAGGAGCACAGCGGCGAGACGGTACGTACGTGTGGGTGTGGGTGTTTGTGTGGATGCGTGTGTGGGTGCGTGTGTGTGTGGGCGTTTGTGCACAGACTGCCCTATGTGACATCATGGCGGCAGTCTGGACCACTGGACGGGTTCCGCAGGGTTGGAGGGATGCCCTGGTGGTCCCCCTTTTTAAGAAGGGGGACCGCACAGACTGTAACAACTACAGGTGCATCTCACTCGTCGGTGTGCCGGGAGAGGTCCTGGCAAGGATTGTTCAACATCGCCTTGCCAGGCACGCTGAGGAGAGGCTTGCGGAGCCCCAATACGGTTTCAGGAAAGGGCGGTCCTGCACAGATGCCATATTTTCTGTCCGTCTTCTGCAGCAGAGGTGTAGGGAATTCAAACAGGACCTGCGTCTCTGCTTTGTTGACCTGGTCAAGGCCTATGATACCATCAGTAGGCCTGGGCTCTGGGTTGTTCTTCGTGCTTTTGGAGTGCCTGACCCTCTGCTCACGATCATTGAGGACCTTCGTGAAGGTGGGCGGGCCCGGGTAAAACTACGTGGCCGGGAGTCAGAGCCATTCCCTGTACACCTTGGGGTGCGACAGGGATGTCCTCTGGCTCCCACGTTATTTAACATCTGTTTTGACTACGTAGTTCGTGAAGCCTTCAATAGCTCTACCGGGGGAATCTCCATATGGTACAGATATAATGGGAGGCTGATCGATGCCCGGGTGCGGTCAAGGGATGGCTTCCTATTGCTCAACCACGTTATGTATGCCGATGATTTGGTAATAGCTGCTCATTCAGAGGAGGAGTTGGAGACGCTGCTACTGAGACTGGAGCGTGCCACTAAGAGGTGGGGCCTTACCATCAGCCCCACCAAAACTAAGCACCTGCCTGGGTATTTTGTACCATCGGACACTCCACCCCCACAACTCCCAATCGGTGATGGGGCAGTTGTGGAGCGAGTGGAGAGTTTCCCATACCTGGGCAGTGTGCTTATGACCGGCTCCAGTTTAACAGCAGAGGTCTCACTCCAAATGAGTCGAGCGGCAATATCTTTTCATCGGTTGCGTAACGCTGTGTGGAAGCTACCTGGTCTGTCGCTCCGCACTAGGCTTCAGGTCTTCTCGGCCACGGTCATTCCCTCCCTTCTCTACGCTTGCGAAACGTGGACCCCCCTAACATTTAGGCTGGCCTGCCTACGATCCATCCTGGGTTTAACCGGACTGGATTGTGTGAGGAGCTCACAAATCCTTGAAATATCTGGGCAAGGTCCCATCGGTGAGCTCCTCTGGCGGGCAAGGCTGCGATGGCTGGGTCATGTAGCCCGCATACCCAGCCACCGCATGCCGAAACAGCTTTTGTTCGGCCGGATCGAGGGGGCTAAACGGGCGCTGCACGGGCTAGAGAAGAGATGGAGTGATGTGGTACAGGAGGACGTGGAGCTGAGTGGACTTGCCGATGACCGGTACCAGCGGTGTCAAGATCGGCCTCTGTGGAGGAGGCTCGTGAAGGACGCTACTAGGCAGTTGGAGGCAGTCGCCCTCCATCAACAACGGAGGGCGGAGGAGCGATGCTCACAACAACGAGCGGAGCGCCGGGTGGCTAAAACACAGCAGGTTGGCACAGTAGGGGGCACAGGTGGTGAATCAGCCAGTCATCTCAGTCATCTTAGTCGGTCGACCCGTGGTACTTGGGTCTGCATAGTGACAACCTAGTGACTACGTAGTGATTACGTAGTGATTACATAGTGACTACGTAGTGATTACATACCCGACCCCTCCGCCCCCCCCCACCCGCCCCCTCCCCCCGAGCGAGGCTGACGCGCGTGGCGTGCGCGTGACTCGTAGAGATCGCGGTGCGGCAGCCAGGACGAGGTGGAGGAGGGATCCAGCGAGGATGCGACGAGGAGCAGGTACCGGCGCTGTGGTCACGACGACGATGATGACGATGATGACGACGATGACGACGATGATGACGACGATGATGATGGCGATGACGATGATGACGATGATGATGATGATGACGACGGTGATGATGGTGATGATGATAACGATGACGATGATGATGACGATGATGACGATGACGATGATGACGATGATGATAAGGATGATGATGACGACGGTGATGATGGTGATGTTGATGACGATGATGACGATGTTGATGACGGTGATGATGATGACGATGATGACGATGTTGATGATGATGATGGTGACGATGATGACGATGTTGATGATGATGACGATGATGATGATGACGATGTTGATGATGGTGATGATGATGACGATGACGATGATGACGATGTTGATGATGGTGATGATGATGACGACGATGATGACGATGTTGATGATGATGACGATGATGATGATAAACGATGATGGTGATGATGATGACGATGATGATGATGATGATGATAAACGATGATGGTGATGATGATGATGACGATGTTGATGATGATGACGATGATGATGACGATGTTGATGATGATGACGATGTTGATGACGATGATGATGATGACGATGATGACGATGTTCATGATGATGACGATGTTGATGATGATGACGATGATGATGATGACGATGATGATGCTGACGATGTTGATGATGATGACGATGATGATGACGATGACGATGATGACGATGTTGATGATGATGACGATGATGATGATGATGACGATGATGACGATGTTGATGATGATGACGATGATGATGATGATGACGATGTTGATGATGATGATGACGATGATGATGACGATGATGGTGATGATGATGACGATGATGACGATGATGATGATGACGATGATGATGATGACGATGATGGTGATGATGATGACGATGATGACGATGATGATGATGACGATGATGATGATGACGATGATGGTGATGATGATGACGATGATGACGATGATGATGATGACGATGATGATGACGATGTTGATGCCATCGCTCTGCCTCCCAGCTCCTCCCTGGACAGGGACGGCGTGGCTGCCGTGGCTGCCGTGGGGCTCTTGGGGCGCGCCGAGCGGCAGGGGGGGGGTCAACGGGGGAGGGCGGTCCCCCACCCCCTCCCCCACCCCCTCCCCCACCCCCTCCCCCACCCCCACCCCGGACCCCGACAAGGCGGAGCCTGGGAAAGGTACTCGTGCAACAACAACACCAACAACAAAACACAGTAAACACAACTAATTGGCTGACAACGTCTAAAATAACACCACGTAACACAATCTTTGTTCCTGGTTACTAAGTGATATTTCGTACTTGCTCATGCCTAAAGGGTAAAGAAAATTGATATTATTCACCACAAACTTTGCTTTTGTGACCAGGACAGTGATATTTAGAAATTGACCTTTTCAGTTTGTTTTTTCAGTTTCATTTATTTGGTAGATCCCTGTGAGACATTCAGCTCTTTAATCGGGTGCAACCGCAACGAACAAAAAACTAAAACATGAACAAGTAAACATCTCAAAGTGACTATGCGCAAACAGAAAAATCCAGGAAAATCAGCAAAATCTTCCAGAAAAAGCGCCGTACACCAACGCTGTGTGCAAAAATCCCAGTGGGATGCAAGTCAAACAACAACACCTATTTTCAATGAGAAAACGGCCGAATTTGTGTCTTTTCGTTCACGTAAAAAGGCAGATTTATTTTTTACATCTGAATCAAAATTAACATGTTTTTATGCTAAAGTAATGCAACAAAAATACTAGAAAAGATTTAGAAGTGAGTAGTTTTTCGAGATTTACGATTATACTGTAAATCACTTTCACGATTCAGCCCCCAAATGTAGTCTCCCATCATGTTCTCGTTATACTGTCCTTGGTAGCGGCATTCAAAGCCCAGTCTATCCTGGTGGAAGCGCTCGCCTTGCTCCTCCGAGTACGCTCCCATGTTCTCCTCGAAATTATCAAGATGAGCGTCAAGGATATGGACTTTGAGGGACATCCTACATCCCATTGTGCCGTAATTCTTCACCAAAGTCTCAACCAGCTCCACATAGTTTCGACCTTGTGATTGCCAAGGAAGCCACGAACCACTGCGACAAAGCTGTTCCAAGCCGCTTTCTCCTTACTAGTGAGCTTCTTGGGGAATTCATTGCAGTCCAGGATCTTCTTTATCTGTGGTCCAACGAAGACACCGGCTTCGACTTTTGCCACAAACAGCTTAGGGAAGAAGCCTTGAAGGTACTTGAAGGCTGCCGACTCTTTATCTACAGCTCTGACAAATTGTTTCATGAGGCCCAATTTGATGTGCAGTGGTGGCATCAGCACCTTCTGGGGGTCCACCAGTGGCTCCCACTTGACGTTGTTCCTCCCCACAGAGAACTCGGTCCGCTGTGGCCAGTCCCGCCTGTGGTAGTGCGCCTTGGTGTCCCTGCTGTCCCCAAGGCAAAGATAGCAGGGAACCATACTCTTTGGTTCTTTCGGTAAAGTCATGTAGGTATAAAATAAAATAAATTAAATCACGACGTTTCGGGCGCAACACAAGCGTTTGTCATCAGGTGGGACAACCACAGCAAGAAACAATTGCTGAAGTGGGCAAAAGGGCTGCCGTGACAAGAGGCTATAAAACCGCATTGTAGACCAATCAGGAATGCCATCATTTTGAAGTCTCCGATGACCTCTTAGCCGTACTCATCATACTTCAAGGCGTCCAGCAAGGTCTTGATGCTGTTGTAATCCTCTTTGAGGTACACCGAGTGAGCCAGGGGAAGAGACGGGTACTTGTTACCATTATGGAGCAGCACGGCTTTGAGGCTCCTGGATGAGCTGTCAATGAAGAGGCGCCACTCATTCAGGTTACAGGCGATTCCGATTGCCTCGAACAGACTGGTCACATTTGTGGCATAAGCAGAGCCCATCTTCTTTGGTTCTTTCGGTAAAGTCACGTAGAATGAGAATAAAATAATAAATTGATAAAATAAAATAACACAATAATATTCTCACGACGTTTCGGCCACAACACAAGCGGCCTTCATGAGGTGAAGGGAGCGAGACTGTCTGGTAGGACAGCGCTGGAGTGCGCTGTCCTACCAGACAGTCTCGCTCCCTTCACCTGATGAAGGCCGCTTGTGTTGTGGCCGAAACGTCGTGAGAATATTATTGTGTTATTTTATTTTATCAATTTATTATTTTATTCTCATTCTACGTGACTTTACCGAAAGAACCAAAGAAGATGAATCATTGCAGTCACGAAAGCTTTAAATCGAAATTTAGAGCCCATCTTGTCGGGTGAAGAAGCTGCAAAAAAGTTAGTGACGCTTCCTCTGATCTGCGACTTGCACGCTTTCATCCAACAAGTTCCACTGCTTGAGCCTAGACGTCAAAAAGCTCGGTATTGGACTTGGTGAGACCAAGATCTCTGATCAAGTCGTTGAGATATTTTTGGTTGGGGTAGTATGGGTTTCTCTCCTCAGCTCCACCTCTGAAATTGTCATCTGGATCTACAACGTCTTCCTCGCTCTCTGACTTGCTGCTCTCTTCTAAAGACGGCTGCTCTCTCTCCGGAGGAGTGGGTACGTACGGGGAGCTCATGGCAGGCATGCCGAAATATGCCTTGCAGCCCTCACACATCTTAGCAGATGCTTCCACAGAGTTCTTTTTAGCTCTTGTCTTGATAAATTGGCCGCAGACAGAGCAAAATGCGTCTGCCGGATGCTTGCAGCCTCTTGATGCCATCTCACAAAAATGCAGATATGTACAGTATCCACTTAGGCAGCTGGAACTAAAGTGAACTGGTGGGCTTAAGGCCCCTGTATTTATACTCATATTTATATTACTGGAAAGTTCTCGAATGTTCTAGAAGTTTCTCCAAGTTTACTCAGCACTGAATCTGTCTAGAATGTTCTGGAAAATAGGTAAATTTCAAAACATCAATGTTCTGGTCAAAAAAGCAAAGTTTGTGGGGAATAATATCTATTTTCTGTACTTTTGAGGCATAAGCAATTAGGAAATAATACTTACTATCCAGGAACAAAATAATGTGTTAAAGAGTATGATAAAAAGAAAACGCCACAGTGGCAGCACCCTGCTGTTAACGAGTCCCTTGTCTCTAATCAACTAAACTATATATTTTTTTATTTAAAGCTTTCGTGACTGCAGTAATTAATATTCTTAGCTCTTTTGGTAAAGTCACGTTGAAGGGAAACAATAAAATAATAAAATATATATAAAACAATTAAATTCTCACGACGTTTCGACCATAACACAAACGGTCATCATCAGGTGTGAAATCCGCCACTTCTTTCAAATGTTTCTTGCCGTTGGTTTTCACACCTGATGATGACCGTTTGTGTTATGGTCGAAACGTCGTGAGAATTTTATTGTTTTATATATATTTTATTATTTTATTGTTTCCCTTCAACGTGACTTTACCGAAAGAGCTAAGGATATATATATTTTTTTTAATTTTATTTGGCCAGGTAAGAGCCGCCGAGCTATACGGCTCCTTTTTCAGAAGAGACCTGAACTCGGTCACAAATGATACCTGCTCAATGAAGTGGCTCATCGTCATCGTCGTCGTCATCACGTGGACATTTATAGCAGCAGACAAATACTCTGAGCGCGTAGCGACGTTGATTCTAAATGTGGAGGGGGGGGGGGGAAACCCGGAGGGCCCCGGAGACAAATCCACGCGACCACAGGGAGAGAGAGAGCGAGAGAGACACGCAAACTTCAAATATACAGCAGCAGCAGCGTCAGGGTCGGGATCGAACCCACGACCTCCTGTAAACCAGGCGAGGGAGTTAACATCTCCTAGCCACCGTGATAATGAATCGAGAGAGAGACACACCGCAAACTTCAAATATACAGCAGCGTCAGGGTCGGGATCGAACCCACGACCTCCTGTAAACCAAGCGAGGGAGTTAACATCTCCTAGCCACCGTGATTATGATGAGAAAGAGACACTGCAAACTTCAAATATACAGCAGCGTCAGGGTCGGGATCGAACCCACGACCTCCTGTAAACCAGGCGAGGCAGTTAACATCTCCTAGCCACCGAGGCGCCCCTAAGTATGACCCCAGGGGGAGGCGTGGTGGGGGGTGATGTGAGCGGCCCACGTCTCTCCCGGAGGGCCCTGGGGGACAGAGGAGGCCCTCCCGCGTCTCTCGCCGGACAGGGGTGGGGGGGGGGGGGGACGCCTCTGAGGGCCAGGCGAGGGGGGAGAGGCCACGCTCTGCGGTGGTTGCGGAGCCTCAGAGGTTGGGGGAAGTAGCCCCCCCCCCCCCCCATGTGAGTGGCCTTGTGCTGCCAGGACGCGTGGAGAGCGATCGGGAGCACGATAGGTCTGGGTTTGACCCCTGGCAATGGCCTTAAACGAGTAACCCCGGTGCGTCGTGTCTGAACGTCGCCACTGGGGAGACAAAGGCGGCCGGGCGTGGTGTCGACCACCCACCCCGCACACGTACCGTGCCGGCTTTCAAATGTGCTGCTCGCTAACAGCACTTGGCCCAACATTCTGTTCAGGCTATACGGGGGATCTTTGTCTGTGTGTGTGTGTGTGTGCAGAGAGGGGCCCGTGGAAGGGAATCTCTCAGATCATCCGCAGGCCATTTGGGGGCCGCTCGCCCCCCGAAACTCGCCGCGTGTTTGGGGTGCGACTTGAGGACTGCACCCCCTCGCTCGCACACACGGTGAGGACCCTGTGTGTCTCTCTCTGTGTCTCTCTGTGTCTCTCTCTATGTCTCTCTCTGTGTGTCTCTATGTCTCTCTGTGTCTCTCTATGTGTCTCTCTCTCGCTTTGTGTGTCTCTCTCTCTATGTGTCTCTCTCTGTATCTCTCTCTGTGTGTCTCTCTGTGTGTCTCTATGTCTCTCTCTGTCTCTCTATGTGTCTCTCTCTCTGTCTCTCTCTCTGTGTGTCTCTCTCTGTGTCTCTATGTCTCTCTCTGTGTCTTTCTCTGTGGCTCTGTCTCTCTGTCTCTCTATCTCTCTGTGTCTCTGTTTCTGTGTCTGTGCGTGACCCTGCGTGTGTGACACTGCGTGTGTGACCTTGCGTGTGTGACACTGCGTGTGTGACCCTGCGTGTGTGACCTTGCGTGTGTGACACTGCGTGTGTGACCCTGCACGAGTGACCCTGCACGAGTAACCCTGCGTGTGTGACCCTGCGTGTGTGACCCTGCGTGCGTGACCCTGCGTGTGTGACACTGCGTGTGTGACCCTGCGTGTGTGACACTGCGTGTGTGACCCTGCGTGTGTGACACTGCGTGTGTGACCCTGCGTGTGTGACTCTGCGTGTGTGACCCTGCGTGCGTGACCCTGCACGAGTGACCCTGCGTGTGTGACACTGCGTGTGTGACCCTGCGTGTGTGACCCTGCGTGCGTGACCCTGCGTGTGTGACACTGCGTGTGTGACCCTGCGTGTGTGACACTGCGTGTGTGACCCTGCGTGTGTGACACTGCGTGTGTGACACTGCGTGTGTGACCCTGCGTGTGTGACCCTGCGTGTGTGACCCTGCGTGCGTGACCCCGCGTGCGTGACCCTGCGTGTGTGACCCTGCGTGCGTGATCCCGCGTGTGTGACCCTGCGTGTGTGACTCTGCGTGCGTGATTCCGCGTGTGTGACCCTGCGTGTGTGACCCTGCGTGTGTGACCCCGCGTGTGTGACCCCGCGTGTGTGACCCTGCGTGTGTGACCCTGCGTGCGTGATCCCGCGTGTGTGACCCTGCGTGTGTGACTCTGCGTGCGTGACCCCGCGTGCGTGTGCGTGCGCGACCCAGCTGGTGCCGCGCGTGCTGGAGCTCTTCTGCGAGCTGGTGGAGTGCCACGGGCTGGGCTCGCGAGGCATCTACCGCGTGCCGGGCCGCGTGTCGCACGTGACGGCGCTGCAGCAGGAGCTGACGCGCTGCGGCGGGGAGGTCGATACCACAGAGCAGGTGCGGGACGACTCGGCGGCGGCGGGGGGGGGGGGGTGCAGAGAGAGACAGGGAGACACGGGTACACGGGACAGGGAGAAAATCCACGGAGCAGATGTGGGACAGGGGGACACGGAGACAGACAGAGACACAGACTGCACAGGACAGGTGTGGGATACGGAGAGACAGCGAGAGAGCGACTTTTTTGCTTTTAAAATCCGTGTTGATTCTCACGAGAAGCAACACGCCGTCGCTACTGCACAATGTAAACATATCATATTGTGCAAAAGATTATGAACATGAAGCATATACAAGAGAGTGTGGGAGAGAGGGGGAGAGTGAGAGGGGGAGAGAGAGAGGGGGAGAGTGAGAGTGTGGGAGAGAGGGGGAGAGTGAGAGGGGGAGAGTGAGAGGGGGAGAGTGAGAGGGGGGAGAGAGAGAGGGGGAGAGAGAGAGGGGGAGAGAGAGAGGGTGGAGGGTGAGAGGGGCAGAGTGAGAGGGGGAGAGTGAGAGGGGGAGAGTGAGAGGGGGAGAGTGAGAGGGGGAGAGTGAGAGGGGGAGAGAGAGAGGGGGAGAGAGAGAGGGGGAGAGAGAGAAGGTGGAGAGTGAGGGGGAGAGTGAGAGGGGGAGAGTGAGAGGGTGGAGAGTGAGAGGGGCAGAGTGAGAGGGGGAGAGTGAGAGGGGGAGAGTGAGAGGGGGAGAGTGAGAGGGTGGAGAGTGAGAGGGGCAGAGTGAGAGGGGGAGAGTGAGAGGGGGAGAGTGAGAGGGGGAGAGAGAGAGGGGGAGAGAGAGAGGGTGGAGAGTGAGAGGGTGGAGAGTGAGAGGGGCAGAGTGAGAGGGTGGAGAGTGAGAGGGGGAGAGAGAGAGGGTGGAGAGTGAGTGGGGGAGAGAGAGAGGGAGAGAGAGAGGGGGAGAGTGAGCGGGGGAGAGTGAGAGGGGGAGAGAGAGAGGGGGAGAGAGAGAGGGTGGAGAGTGAGAGGGTGGAGAGTGAGAGGGGCAGAGTGAGAGGGTGGAGAGTGAGAGGGGGAGAGAGAGAGGGTGGAGAGTGAGTGGGGGAGAGTGAGAGGGGGAGAGAGAGAGGGTGGGAGAGTGAGTGGGGGAGAGTGAGAGGGGGAGAGAGAGAGGGGGGAGAGTGAGAGGGGGAGAGTGAGAGGGGGAGAGTGAGAGGGGGAGAGTGAGTGGGGGAGAGAGAGGGAGAGTGAGAGGGGGAGAGAGAGAGTGAGAGAGTGAGGGGTCTGTGTCTGTGTGGGTGCGCGTCAGAGGTGGCATGACCCCAATGTGGTGAGCTCCCTGCTCAAGTCCTTCCTGCAGAAGCTGCCAGATGCCCTCCTCACTGAAGGTACACTCACCATCACTTACTCACCATCACTCACTCACCATCACTCACTCACCATCACTCACTCACCATCACTCACTCACCATCACTTACTCACCATCACTCACCATCACTCACCATCACTCACTCACCATCACTCACTCACCATCACTCACCATCACTTACTCACCATCACTCACTCACCATCACTCACCATCACTCACTCACCATCACTCACTCACCATCACTCACCATCACTCACCATCACTCACTCACCATCACTCACCATCACTCACCATCACTCACCATCACTCACCATCGACCTAGGAGAGGCCCAGTGACCGGTTCGTATTATCGTCACTGGATGTTGGTGGCCGTGAGCGAGATTCGAAGTGGGGTCGCTGGGTTTGTAGCGCACACAGCACAACGCACACTCCCACGCGCCTCGCTCGCACTCTGCAGAACAGAGGCATGGGGGATCGTACAAACTCCACGTGGAGAAGCGCCCGATTCGGTGATCGAACCCAGGCTTGAGTGCCGCGTGGCGCCACCGCTACGCTGTGGCCACCCTACCGCAGAACGGCGGTGATGTGGTACGTGCATACCAGTCAACCCCTTGTCAGGGGCCTACCTTTTAACAGACTAATTGAGACCTTATTGGTCACCCCGTGCCCTTATACATCCCAACGTTCATCCTGCAAAGGTCGAGAAACACAAACAACTAGACGAACAAAAGAAGTGTGCCCGTATTGGAACCGGCTGTACGCCGCATGGACCTGAAACACTCCATGTCCCTGCACGAGAGACACGAGGCGAACCGCACGGCTTGACAGCTCTGCACGTGCGTTGAACTTCTTCCGTACCGGAACGTAGCCCGCTGCACTAATCGGAGTTGCGACGGCAAGGGACAATCGAGCTGAATGCACAAGGCGGTTCGAAAGAAATGCGTTTGTCGATCTAGATGACGACGAAGATGATGATAAAAAGTTTCCCCGAGCTCCAGTGGCCTCGTCATGTCGGAAGGAAGAGCGTTCCAGACGGCCGCACGGGCGCGCCCCGGGAGCCCCGTGCGACGATGCGGTGTTGCCGTCTTCGTTCGACGGACAGCCCGGGGGAGCCGCTGGCGCTGCGAGGTCGACCGGGGGTGGCGTGATTCATGGTTTATGCTTCACTTGATGCAGACGGCAGAGGTGTTGACGACGATGTCGCTGCCCCTCGCTAGGGAAGTACAAGGCGCTCATCGAGGCGAACCAGAGGGCCCAGCCGGCGGAGAGACTGCGCGCCCTGCGGCAGCGGGTGAGGGGGCCGCACACTGCTGACGATCGGGGTGACGATGACGACGATCGGGGTGACGATGACGACGATGACGACGATCAGGGTGACGGTGCTGCTGCTGCTGCTGTTCACTGCTGCACTGTGTATCTGTGAGCCGGCGCATGAAGAGGGCTCTTGCCCAGAGGTAACGAGCATCTGTAGCGATGAGTTCCAGTGAGGGTGAAGCCGGTTGCCTACGTTTCACTGCTGCCGCAGACACGAGCGGCAAGGCCGCAGCAGAAGCGGCCAATTGGCAGCGAGGAACCAATTGGCGGTGGGGAGCTGACAGCGACCAACAATTGGCAAAGCTCTGTGGCCCTCTATGTATTCAAACGTTTTCAGCCAAATAATGAAACGTGTATCGGTGTGCGAGGAAAACCGGGGCACTCGGAGAAAAGCCGCGCATGCGAGGGAGCAACGCTGTATCCCCGTGCAGATGACAGAGGTTGGATGTCCGCGTTGTTTTGCTGTGCCGCCTTCTCCTGGCGAGCCAGGGTACGCGGGGGACGGAGTTTCGCAGCCCATCAGTGTTTCATCAACCAACCCTCGCTCGATTATACAGGCCACGTGCGTAGCCACGACTGCCCGGCTAACAATCACCGACGGCAATGACAACGACAACGGCCGCACGTTCGGATGTGCGATGCCGGTGGTTTTGGGCGACGCTGGGAGCATTTGTACACCCGTCGGTGACGGTGCGCGTCATCGGAACGGAACTAAAGGGAAGAAAAACTAAAAATAACTTCGCGGGTACCGAGGCTCCCACGAGGACCACGCGGGAGGGGCTGCGCACGCGGCACAGTTTTGGCGCCACGTGCGGGCGGTCGTGTCGCCAGAGTTCTCTGCGGTGAGCAACAACGCAGGCGCTTCTCGCGTTCCGGCACAACCCCGACCCAGCCTGCAACTTGCAGACGTCCCGGAACGGGAAAGTGGTTCAACTGTATCTGTTGTGAATTCCGCTGCTGCTGCTGCTGCTATGCACCCAGACTGGCACGCTGCTACGCCTTGTCGCTTACCATCGTGTGATTCGTTTACCTGGCTTGTACTTTGCACAGCTGTCATGCTTGTTGTATTGTTTGTTGTATTGTTTGTTGTATTGATGCTTGTATTGTTTGTTGTATTGTTTGTTGTATTGTTTGTTGTATTGTTTGTTGTATTGTTTGTTGTATTGATTCTTGTATTGATTCTTGTATTGTTTGTTGTATTGTTTGTTGTATTGTTTGTTGTATTGTTTGTTGTATTGTTTGTTGTGTTGTTTGTTGTATTGTTTGTTGTATTGTTTGTTGTATTGATTCTTGTATTGTTTGTTGTATTGTTTGTTGTATTGTTTGTTGTATTGTTTGTTGTATTGTTTGTTGTATTGATTCTTGTATTGATTCTTGTATTGTTTGTTGTATTGTTTGTTGTATTGTTTGTTGTATTGTTTGTTGTATTGTTTGTTGTAATGTTTGTTGTATTGTTTGTTGTATTGTTTGTTGTATTGTTTGTTGTAATGTTTGTTGTATTGTTTGTTGTATTGTTTGTTGTATTGATTCTTGTATTGATTCTTGTATTGATTCTTGTATTGTTTGTTGTATTGTTTGTTGTAATGTTTGTTGTATTGTTTGTTGTATTGTGTGTTGTATTGTTTGTTGTATTGATTCTTGTATTGATTCTTGTATTGTTTGTTGTATTGTTTGTTGTATTGTTTGTTGTATTGTTTGTTGTATTGTTTGTTGTATTGATTCTTGTATTGTTTGTTGTGTTGTTTGTTGTATTGTTTGTTGGATTGTTTGTTGGATTGTTTGTTAGATTGTTGAATTGTTTCTTGTATTGTTTGTTGTATTGTTTGTTGTAATGTTTGTTGTATTGTTTGTTGTATTGTTTGTTGTATTGATTCTTGTATTGATTCTTGTATTGATTCTTGTATTGTTTGTTGTATTGTTTGTTGTATTGTTTGTTGTATTGATGCTTGTATTGTTTGTTGTATTGTTTGTTGTATTGATTCTTGTATTGTTTGTTGTATTGTTTGTTGTATTGTTTGTTGTATTGATTCTTGTATTGATTCTTGTATTGTTTGTTGTGTTGTTTGTTGTATTGTTTGTTGGATTGTTTGTTGGATTGTTTGTTGGATTGTTTGTTAGATTGTTGAATTGTTTCTTGTATTGTTTGTTGGTGTCACGTTCTTACCCCGCGCCCCGACTGCACCGTCTTTGTAAAAAGAGCTTTATAGCTGATCGGATTCCTCCTCCAGTGTAAATACATAATCAGATTCTGATCGTTCATGTTGTTTACCACATCGCTGATGAAGTTGCTGCTGCTGCTGTTGTTGCTGCTGAAGCTTGTTAAGTTGATGGAAATGTCGTTGTTCTTGTTGATGCTTTGAACATTACCGTTTGTTGTCCTTGTTGATGTTACGTCGTTGGCGTTGCTGAGGACTATGTCAACCTTTCTCTGTGTATTTGAGTAGTTGCTGATGAGCGTTGTGATTGCTACAATTAACGACAGTTTTTGTTGATGGTCTTCTTGTCGACCTTGTTGTTGTTGTTGTTGCGATGCAGGTGCAGGAGATGCCCGGACACCACTACCACACGCTGAGGTTCCTGGCGAGACACCTGCAGAAGGTCACCCAGCACGCACAGCACAACAAGGTGAGCCGCACCAAAGGCAAAGCTCCCCCGTGTAGCCTTAACAGACTGTTGGGGCAAGTGCTGTTAGCGAGTAATACCTATGAAAGCCGGCACGGCACACGAGGAGGTGGGTGGCCAGCACCACGCTTTGTCTCCCGAGCAATGATGTTTACGCAGCACTGTTCTGTGCACTCATTTGAGACTGTGTCGACCGATGGGAGACCCAGGATCGGTTCAAATATACCTCGCTGGTGTTGGCCGTGAGCGGGAATCGAACTGGGGTCGCCGGGTTCGTAGCGCAGCGTAGCGCTAACCGCTACACCACCGCTCACCGTGGTCGTGTACCTGCTCACGCACGAGTCTGTGTGTCTGCGCGTCTGTCCGCGGTGGGAGCGGTGGCGCAGCAGCTAGTGGCACTGCGCTACAAACCCCGAGACCCGAGTTAGATTCCCGCTCACGGCTACTGACTCCGGTGACGATTATCTGAACCGGTCCTGGGCCTCCCCTAGGTCGACTCGGCCTCAAGTACCTGGGTGCGGTGTGTAGTAAACATCGCCACTGGGGAGACGAAGGCGGCCGGGCGTGGTGCTGGCCACCCACCCCCTCGTGTGCCACAGTGCCGGCCTTCATCGGTGTTAATCGCTAATGGCACTTGCCCCGACAGTCTATTGAGGCTACACGGGGGATCTTTGTGTGCGTGTGATGTGCATCAATGATCTGTGTGTGTGATGTACCCGTGTGATCTGTGCGTGTGTGATCTGTGTGTGTGTGATCTGTGTGTGTGTGTGTGTGATCTGTGATGTGAGTGAGAGGGTGGGAGAGTGAGAGTGTGGGGGAGTGAGCGGGTGGGAGTGTGGGTGATGTGTGATGTATGTCGGTGTGATGTGTGTCTGTGTGATGTGTGTGTGATGTGTGTGATCTGTGTGTGTGTGTGATGTGCGTGTGTGTGATGTGCGTGTGTGCGATGCGTGTCTGTGTGATGTGTGTGTGATGCGCGTGTGTGCGATGTGTCTGTGTGATGCGCATGTGCGTGATGTGTGCGTGTGTGTGATCTGCGCGCGTGTGTGTGACGTGTCTGTGAGATGTGTGATGCGCGCGTGTGTTATGTGCGTGTGTGTGATGTGTGATGTGCGTGTGTGTGACGTGCGTGTTAGATGGACGCACACAACCTGGCGATCGTGTTCGGCCAGACCGTGCTGCGCCCTCCGTGCGGCTCCCTCACCAAGCTCATGGCCAACATGGCCGAGCACAACCGTCTCGTGGAGTCGCTCATACGACACGTTCGTCACCCCCCACTTACCCATTTTATCTCGTCGCCCGGTTACCCGGTTACCCCTGCAACCCATTACCTCGTTTCCCAGCTGTCCCGTTATCGCATTACCCGTGATATCGTTTGCCGGGCTATGCCGTCACCCTTTGACCTCGTGACCCCATTACGCATGCAGCTGAGACGGGGTCGCTCACCGCCCACGACAAACGGCAATTAAATAAATTAACTCGAGCGCTTCCCCCCCCTTCCCCTGCACCCCCCCCCCCGTCTCCTCTCCACCTCCACCACAGTGCGACTGGTTCTTTTCAGAGAACTCCGATCTTCCGGTGAGTACCATGCTGCGCACGTGATTGTGTGTGTGTGTGATGTGCGCGCGTGATTGTGCGTAATAATGTGTATGCGATTGCGCGTGTATGAGATTGTGTGTCTGTACTTATGATTGTGATTGTGCATGCACATCTGGATCGTAGTGTTGCTAGATTAGCGCTACGACACGGCCATTATGAACCTCATAAGGCAGTTTAATACGTGGGAGGCTTTTGCGACCAATGTCATCCGTAATACTGGGTTTTTGTTATTGGGTTAGATCGCGTAAATACATTAATTTCGTTAAACCTTACCCCTCCACCTACATCTACCCCTGTTTAAGGAACGAAACAGGAGGACTTCTCCACAAATCTGGTTGTCGCCTGATGAAGCTGGTTGTAATTACTCGCAAAACGTCGTACTCAGATTGTAAATGTTGTGGCTTGGTTCTCCACCGGTGTGCTGTACTAGTAACGGATTAGCACGTTCTGTTTACGTGACAAACCTTACTAATCGGCTGTGTTGGATGTTGGCGGGTTTAACGACTCATAAGACAAATTGAACGCAATTTCAGCACCGTGGACAGCGCCACCAGCACCTCTCATGATATTACTGAATAAGTACCGCAGACAGCTCCTGGCTGTTCACGCGAATGTCGGTATACCTGTGGGGGGTTCATTGAACACAGTGTGGTGGATCAGACTAAAACTGTCAGCGTCTGGCTCAGACCGAGTCCTCAACACGGGTGGAGGAGGAATCAACGAGTGAAGTGCGCAGCAGCAGCAGCAAACGTGGTAGCAGCTACAGATGAGTGATAGGGAGGCGAACCGACCGCTGTTGAGCGAGTGATTGGAGTGATACGGTGAGCTGGCGACGCAGCGCGTGATTTTATTAATTTAAGGGGGCCCCGTTAATAACAAAATAAAAATCGCCCCCCCCCCCAGATCGGCCTCTGGCTACAACGCTTGCTCACCAAGATCCCCCTCCCCCCGCGCCTCCCATCTCCCCGCCCCCAGACACCGGACGACGAAGCGAAGGTGGTGGGCGAGGTGAAGGAGACGGCGGGTGAGGAAGAGGGCCTGGCGTCTCACGCGGAGTTCCCGGACGGCATCCCGGGCACCGAGGGGATCACCGACAGCGGCTCGGGTGAGGCGTGATGACCTTACACTCGCCCCCCCCCCCCCCCCCCCAAGGAGAAAGGTCCCCACGTGTGGCCTTTGGCAGGCTGTTGGGGCAAGTGCTGCTCGCGAGCACCTACGAAGGCCGGCATGGCGCACCTGAGCAGGTGGTGTGGCCGCCACCACGCATGCCCGGCCACCTTTGTCTCTCCAGCGGTGATGTTTCCACACCTAACCAGGGTAATTATCCAAGGCTGATTTGACCAAGGGGAGGCCTGGGACCAGCTCAAATATTCATCGCTGAACATAAGTGCTAAGGAGGCAACCGATTGCCAGTGAGCGAGTGACCAGAGTGAATTGGTAAGTGCCGGATCATCAAGCGCCCTGGGCTGATGTACCGGGTGCCGTGCTTGTGAGAGCGTGGTGAGTGTGGAGAGTGCGTGGCGAGTGCGTGGTGAGTGCGTGGTGAGTGCGTGGTGAGTGCAGTGTGGACGCTAACAGCCCGGTGCTTCCCCCTCTCTCCCCCAGCTTTCCCCCGCGCCAAGCAGGAGGCCGACTAACCCGGTAGGATTAACCCCCACTCACAGCCCGGCTGAACCCACTGGCATGCCAGCCTTAAGCGTAGCTCTAATGGTAACCCAAACACTAATTCTATCACTCACCTTAACCATAACACTAACCATATTCCTAGCACCAAACCCTTTCCATTACCATAGCCCTAACTGTGACACCAGCTCTAACCATAACTCTGCTAACCTTAGCGCGGGCACTGACCCTAATTCTAATAATTCTGGAGGTATGAGTAACGCTAGCCCCAACCAGCACCATGACTATAGCCCTAACCTCTATTCCAGCCCTAACTATACTCACAATTCCAACTTTAGCCCTAACTCTAACACTAATCTTACCCTTAGGCATGGTGGCGAGATGTTAATTACCTCGCCTGATATACAGGTCGTGGGTTCAATCCCGACCCTGACGCCTGTATAGTTGGAGTTTTCATGTTCTCCCCATGATTGTGTGGATTTTTCTCTGAGTCCTCCGCGTTTGATCTCCACGTTTAGAATCAACATGGGTTTACAGTATTTGGCTGCTACAAATGTCCACGTGATAAGCCACTTCGAGTTGAGCTATTATTTTTGGGCAGATTGCTTCTGAAAAAAGAGATACATAATTGAATGGGCCTTACCTGGTCCACTAAAAACTAGTTTAGTTTAGCTCCAACTCTAACCCGACCCCTAGCTCGAACCCCAGACATAGCCGCAGACCTGGCCCAGCCGCTGGGCCGGCACTACTGTCACCTCAAAGTCACCGCAAAACCATCAGGGTGGAACAAATCCACGATGAACCACCGCTCATAATGCGCCATTAAAGTACAACACTTATTGTATAATAATAATACTGATAGATTACATAGTATCTGCATACCAACATAAATCTTACCATGTTCTAAATAGAAATCCACACAGCAGGTGACGCCAATTTTCTGCACAGGTCACAGCCCGAAGGACATCATCGCACGTGTTGTTTTATATTTGCCGTACATGTCTTTGTGCGTGTCGCGTGCAAACCATAGATACAACATCTGTCTGTCTGTTGTCTTAGGACCAGGTAAGCAGAGCCCATTGACATCCAGGGTCTATTTTGAAAGGCAGACCTGTGTTTGACTGGGTTTGAGTGAGAGGGGGGGGGGAGGGAGGAACTAACCACAACACAAAGGTCATAAACTTTTAGACGAAAGCCACGGCAGAAGATACGACGCGGATCCAGCGGCAGCACAAACCCCGCTAAGCCTCTGCCGCTTCATGCGGAAAAGGGTTTGCGGTTTGGACCTGGTGGGCACGCTCCCCAGTCAATACTGCGGCTTGCGTGCTTAACCGTAAACGAACTTCACGCCACAGTGGACGTCAATGACCGCCCCCCCCCCCCGACCACCCGTCCCGTGACGTCTGGCGAAGAGCAGGCCGTTGCGTGCCGGCGTCGCGTTGTGAATTTGAAAAAAATGACTCGCCAGTTATTAACTGTTAGTTGGACACATCCGCAAAAGATTCCCGCGACGTCGTTCGCGAGAGTAAGGCCGTCGCGTGCCGGTGTCGCCGTTCAAACTTGGGCAAGTTTGCCAAAAAATTACGATTATTCGGTTGGAACGTGCAGAGCAATCGTCGCACACTGCTGCGAAGAACTGGGAGGTAACCTCCCGAATGAGTCATGCGACTCGATGATGAGGCATGCGACTCGACGATGAGGCTTTCCCGGATAAACAAGTGCAGGCATCATATCAAAATCAAAATCCCATTCCTTTGAAATCTGTACACATTACATACATGTGTAGCATAATCGATAGTTGTACTGTGCTCTCATATCCATCTATGCACCCCCCCCCCCCCCACCTTCGTCAAGCCCGCACTGACCAGTGTGGTGAAGTATGGTCAAATAACAACCACCCCCCCCCATGACCCGCAACGGCTTGGGGAAGGGAGGCCTCCCTCATCCAGCAGTGGATCGACGACGGAGCTGCACGTGTCCGATTACACACACAAAGAGTGGAAATATTAATATTTAATTGCAACAAACATTTGCATTTCATTGTTTATCAATGCAGACGAGCTGAGTGCACACACACAGGGGAGCTAAGTGCTCCTAAGTGCCGTGGTTACGATTGTACGAGCAGACTTTGTTGTTTAATGGATTCTGAATGAGCGGGCCGAGAGGGATGGTTGTGTTGTGATGTTTAGGGGGTGTGGTGGTGGAGTGTGTGTGGAAGGGATGTCCTGTGTGAATAGACGGTAGGGATGGTGTAGTGGTGCTGTGTAAGGGATGTTCTATGTGAATAGACGGTAGGGAGGGTGTAGTGGTGTGTGTAAGGGATGTTCTGTGGGAATAGGTGGGGGGGAGGGTGTAGTGGTGGTAAGGGATGTTCTGTGTGAATAGGTGAGTGGGAGAGTGTAGTGGTGGTGTGTAATGGATGTCCTGTGTGACTAGGTGGGGGGGAGGGTGTAGTGGTGGTGTGTAATGGATGTCCTGTGTGAATAGGGGGGTGGGTGCGGTGGTGGTGGAGTGTGTGTGGAAGGGATGTCCTGTGTGAAAAGGTGGGAGGGTGTAGTGGTGGTAATGGATGTTCTGTGTGCATAGGCGAGTGGGAGGGTGTAGTGGTGGTGTGTAATGGATGTTCTGTGTGAATAGGTGGGAGGGTGAAGTGGTGGTGTGTGTGTGAAAGGGACGATCTGTGTGAATAAGAGTGTGAGTGTGTGTAAGAGACTCTGTGGGGTGTGCATTCCGGGTGTACTAATTTGTGCAATGTGAATAGGAAGTGTGTGAGGTTGTGATGTGGGGTTTGTATCGAGAGGTTGTCTTGTGTTGAAAGTGTGGTGTGATGTGTGTACGAATTATTTGTTCCACGTGCATAGGAGAGTGTGAGGTTTTGATGTAGAGGGTCTTGTGTTGAGGGTGTGGGTGGGACATGGTGCGAGGCTATGGTGCGACGTGGCGCGTGCGAGGAGCCATCGCGAGTGTGACCGCGGCGGCGGCGTTTGTGTGACACGTTCACAGACGACACGGCAGGGGGCGAGGACACGACGGCACGGAGGAGAGACGCGCAGAGTGCGGTGAGAGAAGTCGTACATCAGTAACATCACCCTCATCATCGTCAATGTTGTTATCGTCACCACGGCGCACTCCCCACACAGGAGCGTTAAAGCGCATCACGTAGCGCGGGCCGCGCAACCCGGGCCACACAGTCTGGGTGTGTAGTTACTACAGAAGAGCTGCTGGTTATTTTGGTCGCATATCCCTCTAACGTCACCCCGTGCCCCCCCCCCCTACCCCCCCGACCTTCCCAGGGTGCAGCGCCCCCGCGGCCCCTCTCCCTCCTCTCCCCCAAGCGCAAGAAGAAGAGCTACAGCGGCACCCGTCACGGCAACGCTGCCGACGAGCCGGACACCGAGCGGTGGGCGGGCAACGAGAAGCGATCCCGCGCCAGAGCCGTCTCCGCCATTACCGCCGCCGTCTCCTCGCGCTCCGCGGGGGGAGGGGGCGGCCCCACGGCCCCCGGTGGGGGCATCGGCGGTGACCCCGCGCCGGCGCCACTGCCCGCCCAGTTGACCGTGCGCGTGGCCGCGCGGGGGTCCGCCCGGGTGGCGTTGCCGCTACGTCTCTTCCCGTGCGGGCCTCGTGGTCCCGCGCCCTTCGTCGCCGTTCCACTGCCGCTTCTGGAGGCCTCGGTGGGCTCCGCGGATTCGCAGACGGCGGCATCGGCCCCCTCCACCGCCTTCCGCTGCCGCATCGCCATCGTCGTGGAGCCGTGCAGCGACGCGGCGGCGGCGGCGGCAGAGGGAGGCGTGGCGCAGGCCGACGAGACCGGGGCCCAGCAGGGCCAGCAGCAGGAGCAGCAGGGCACGGGCCGCTCGCGCGCCTTTAACGCGTTCCGTGTGAAGCACCGCGACACACTGACGCGCAAGCGGCGCGAGCGGCACGCGCGCTTACAGGTGTGCGCGAGCGCACCGCCTGCGCCGTCGCAGCGGGGCGAGCGGCGGGGAGGGGCGCCGTGGGGAGTAGGCGGGGAGGAGAGGGGCGACGTGGGGGGAGACGCGACCCGGCGGGAGAGGCCCCCGCGATGGTCGACCGCCTGTCTCGCCCCGGTCACCGATGACCCCCGCGACCCACCCGAGGTATCCGCAGCTCAGCCCGAGCCCAGTGTTGTCGGCGGCAGCAAAAGCAGCAGCAGCAGCAGCAGCAGGAGGAGGAGGGAGTTCAGGCTGAGCCGGAGTATAAAGACGCTGTAAGTGCCACTCCCAAGGGCACCAGCTTGGGCGAGTCCGGCAATGGGAGTTGCAACTAAACCGAAGGTCGCAAGCAAGAGGTCATCGTGTCCAGTGCTGCGGGGGCCACCACTCCTCCCCCCGCCGAAAGATTGCGCAGCTGCCACAGACGACATGAGGGTTGCCACCTGTCCGGGTTTGAATTGGCACTGAGATTTGGTTGCGGGAATCGAGTTGAACTTTATTACAGCACAGTGCACAGTTTGATCATTAATTCGACCCAAGGCCGACTGAGAAACATGTCCGGGTTTTGTCTCCGGAAACGGTGGCAAGCCGAGTCAATGCCCAGTCTCCGATGTCCACTCCTATAATTGCAACACCGCTCATTATCTGGCGGCTTCAGATTTTGCCCCCGCTTGATCGCCGGAAGCTCTGGGTGCCACTTCTATGTTGGACTCGGAAACCTGGCCTCCTCTTCCTCCTCCACCCTGCACACGCGTGCCTCCCACTACGTACAACCTCCCACTCCTGATCACATTCACAGCGCTTTTGTTGCCAAGATTAATACTGAAGTTGAGAGTTGCTTTTCCCCTATTCTGCTGTAACGAAATCTCAGACCTCCACATGCACCTGTGCCGAAAAGCCAGCAGCGTCTGCAACTTGGCCACACGAACCAACGCAGATCAAACTCTCAACAAACCACTGCAGAGTAAACTCTCAACAAGCCACTACAGATTGACCTCTTTCATCAATCACCGATGATCGACCTCTCAACCAACCACCAAATTACCTCTCACAAACATCACCAGGCAGATGTAGCAGAACAAAATACATTTGGGGGGTGGGGGCAGGGTATGAAGAGAGTGACAAGATGAGAGACAATACAATGCATAGAAGAACGACATACACCAAGACACGTAGACCGACAGAGACGCGAATGAGACGGAAGTTATGGGGGGTAGGGGGTGCACTTGGTCAGCCTTCACTACAGGTTCTGCCATATCTACCATCACATCAACTCACTCCCATCCACCACATCAACTCTCTCCTCGCTCCCATCCACCACTTCCAACTCTCTCCTCGGCTACTGTCACACGCAACTCTCACGTCCGGTGGTTGGTTGGGGTCATAGCGAGGGGATCGCCGCGTTCTTAAATTAATCGGAACAAAAGCAAACACCGATGTATACGCAACTCGGCCGCATATTGTATTTGCTTGTTCGTGCGCGCTGTATATGCGAGGAGCGCTGTGCGTTATAGGGCCTGTCGGCTCACTTATATCAATAAATCTACATGTTTTATTTAACCAGGCCGGAGCTCATTGGGATTTATTCTTCTTTTGTTTCACTGGAAAACTTGGTTATTTTTTTGTCAAATGGGGTAATTATAGAGCTCTTGAATTATGTTCCGTGTTGTCATGGATTTTGTAAAAAAAAGAAAGACACAGCCCTTTGTCAATCCATGACTGGATGAAGGCTCCTTCCACACTATGTCAGTCATGGGGGTTGTTTGACGTTACTTTGCCACTCTTGTAAGTGCAGGTTGGTGAAGTTGCAAAGCCCCAAGGCTGGTCACTCATGGAATGTCTAGACAATAGACTGACAGACCCGTCTGTGATGGGGTATATAGGCAATAGAACGGTGTCTGATGGGGGGGGGGTCTCGAGTCAAATGACGGTGTTTTTTTTTTCTCCTGAACAAATATGCACCGCGAAGTGAACACAAGTAATGGTGAACAGTTAAAACAAGACTAGCAGAGGACTCGACGCGATGAAACATCTCAAAACATCTTCAGCTCCGGATCTTCTCCGCCCGTCACCACCGCTGCGTCCACCGCTGCCGCGATGCGCAGCCTCCCCTCCCGACCCTCGCGCCTGCTCACCGCAAAACCCACACCCAGGGCTCGAACTCACACTGCCCACGCTGACGTGCGAGGTGTGAGTTTGCTTGCACGTGCGCGTGAATGAGAGTGCGGGTGCACGTGTGCGTGAATGGCCATGCGAGAGCGCATGTGTGTGGGGGGGGGGGGGGGGGTTGAAGCCTCGATAATAATTTGTCTACATTGGCCTTCAAATGAGTTAGATAGTCCGGCAGTGGAATGTTTGCTTAAACACGTTAATATTATTGATCGTTTCTGCGTGGATTAAATATCGGCCGTTCTAAAGGATTCGAGGGAGGGGGGGGGGGGGTGCGTCAAAGTACGCGTGCATACAGGCAGAGGGGGAAGGGTCAAGTTTTAACAGATTTTTGCGTACATACTAAATGGATGGCCCCTTAACAGCACTCGCTCAAGCAGTCTACTAAAGGCTACATTGGCGATCTTTGTCTTTATGAGTGCCTTCGTGTGTGAATGTGTGAGCGCATGTGAGAAGCAACGCCCCTCCCACCTGGATGAGGAGGTAAACCCTGCGTTCACACGGAGGTCTGCAACACCGGTTGGTCCATCCTGACAATACAATTAACATGTATATATTACCACTATATTTATACATAGGCCTTAAAGACCAATGCGACTCACAATTGGTTTCTTTTGGGTTCGGTTGTGTAAATAAAATGTGTGTAGTAAACCCTCCTCCACCCGACACAGCCAATTAATAAATGTGTCACGTGAATCAAACGTGCCTAATCTATTGGTGCTTCAGCAACACCAACAGTGCCGTTTTTGGAGAGCCACCTCACAACATTCACTTGGGCACAGATGCTTCACTGGAGATTACATCCAGCATCATCAAGTTGTTAACAGGAGCTCAGTTCTCAGGTGAAAGTGCTTCCTAATTCAGGTCCTCAAGTAGGTGTCATGATATCATAGGGGCAGTCATGCACGTGATCTAATTTAATCATAAGTTGATTGCTACTTGTTGGGTTGTGACTGGCAGGTTAGGTTAGTGTAATAAGGTGAATATATTTATCGGTTGGTAAAAATAGCCTATCCTTAATCACCTTGAGGTGTAATGTGTAAGTAATAAAGCTGGAATTTTAACGCTGTCATTTTCCTTGGGACTTTCGGTAAAGCCACGTAGATAGAAAAAAATAATCAAAATAATAACAATATCACGACGTTTCGATCGCAACACAAGCAATCGTCTTCAAGTGAAAAAAGAGGGGGAAATCTGCCGAGGCAGGCTATTTATAAAGGTTTAGAGATGGGCGGGGCAGCTAATGTTAATGTAGGAGAGGTCTCCGTAACCTGCAGTAGGTCTACACCAATCAAAGAGCTGTTTACAAATGGTTTAGAGATGGGCGGGGCAGCTAATGCCAATGTGGGGGAGGTGCTACAGAGCTGTGGGGGATGGCCATTGTATTGTGAGAGATTAGCATGTCAATGTAAGACAGCGCAGTGGCCACATTGAGGTGGAAAAGAATGGCAAGCCGCCATTTACTAACACAGCTAATAGTGGCTGTGTTATTGAATGTAACTCACAGAGTCGAAAATAACTGCTAGGTAGGATAGGAACATCACAGCCAGTTATGACCTCAACTGGTTAATAACGTCCTTCCAATGATTGCTCAGTTTGTACCCATCTTCTCGGTTGAAATTGTGTCTGTGTTTATATATCTGGATGGCTTCATGAACGAATCTTTGTTGATAGCCAGTGGGTTTTCAGAGTACCTTCGTCTTGGCAAAATACATTTTGTGTGCCCACAGCGTTAAAATTATGATCAGCCATGGTTGAGGTATTGGTCCTACTGTGTTTCAGATCTGCCTTATGTTCACGGACCCGGTCCGAGACATGTCGCTTAGTTTCCCCAATGTAACTGCTGCCGCAGACACAGCTTAGTTTGTAGACACCCGGGTATTGCATGTCGGGGATCGCATTCTTCGCAGAAGGGATCAAATCACGAATTGTATGTATTGTGTTGAATCGTACCTGGATCTTGTGTTTGCTCATGATTTTGGAAACATTTTTGCTGACCCCGGCTATGTATGGCAAGGTGATGGTTTTGATTGGGTCCTCAGATGGTTCTCTTCCCACGGTTGGGTTAATAGCTTTACGGATTGTGTAGTCCGAATATCCATTCCTCTTGATGGCTTGGTGTACGTGCTCCAGTTCACTGGCTAGGTGGTGATGGTCGGAAATACAATGAGCTCTGTGGTGTAGAGTTTTGATGAGGGAATTATTCTGGGATGGATGGTGGTGGAAGTCAGGTTTTAGGTAAGCATCCGTATGGGTGGCTTTCCTGTAGACAGTGTCCCATTGAGCCATCAGGTCTCTTTTCGATTAAAACATTCAAAAATGGTAACTTGCCATCCTTTTCCACCTAATTGGTGAATTTGATAGCTGGGTGTATGGAATTGATGTGGTTGAAGAATTGGTCCAGAGCTGGTAGGCCATGTGGCCAGATGATGAACGTATCACAAGGAAGGACGTCGGGTGGATGCCTGGATAGCATCTGTCTCCAATTTCTCGATGAAAACATTGGCTACAACTGGAGATAAGGGAGAACCCATAGGGGTACCTTCAACTTGTTTGTAGAAAGTTCCATTCCAGGTGAAGTAAGTGTTGGTGAGGCAGTGTCTAACCAGAACTGGTACATCAGCATGCAATCCTTGTTGGACCACATCTTCAATGATTCTATTGGTGTGAGGCACAGGAACTTTGGTAAACAAAGATACCACATCGAAACTGACAAGCAAATCACCTGGAGATAGTGAGATGTCCTTAATGGAAGATATCAAGTGAGCTGAGTCAAGTACAGCTGAGGTGGTCTTACCAGTGAATGGTTGCAAGGTGTCTGACAGAAATCGGGCCAGATTGTAGGTGGGTGAGCCAATGGTGGAGACGATAGGGCGGAGTGGTGTGCCATCTTTATGGATTTTTGGTAAGCCATAAAATCTCGGTGGTCTAGCAGCAGAGGGTTTTAAGGCAAGCCGCTTGGTTGGTTCGATTAAAGATGTCGAATCAGTGATGATGTTGTTGGTTTTCGTAACCAGGCGGTTGGTAGGATCTCTATTGATTTTGGTATAGCTGGCATCATTAAGTACATGTAGGTCCTGAATTTTGTTATTTTACGTGGTTTTGCCAAGATGACAGTGGCATTGCCCTTGTCGGCTGAGAGGATGACTATGTCATCTCTCTTTTTTACTTGAGAGAGTTCCAGGCGCTCATCCTTGCTGATGTTGCTAATAGGTGTCTTAGCGTTTTTGAGGATTGCAGCGATTTCTGATCTTGCTACATCTGCAGGAATGTGTCCCAAACCCTTAAGGGCTACGTCGACCTGAACAATGATATCATCAACTGGGATGTGTTTAGGGGTGACTGCAAAATTCAACGCTTTAGCTAGAACCGATTTTAGGCTGTCGGAAATTGAGCTGTTGCTCTGATTGATAACAAACTTGTCACCATCTAACTTTTTAGTGTCTGGATCTGGCTTCTTCTTGGAGAGGAGGTTGAACTTGGAAATCAGGTTATCTTTGCATTTAGCTGACATTGAGGCGGCTGAAGAGGCTGTCATGTTATCTACATGGTCCCAATCAGATGTAGACATTTTTTCTGTTAATGTTAAGTGTGATTGCAATAGGGGCTTGTCTAAATTGTCTAGTTCAAATCAGAACACTTTTATTCTCTCTGAGACCAGGGCTAGGCTGGCCCTGAACAAGATCTGTTTAGCATTAGGAGAAGTGACAACAGCAGATGTAAGTGTAAAGGCGATCGGTATTACCTTAGTGTCGCGACATCTCTTCAGAAATGTGAGCTACTCGATCAGCTATTGTCATTGTCGTTAAATGTAAATTTAATTGTTCATAAAGGTTATGGAGATTATCACGATGAGAAATTAGTGATACAAAGTTATTCTTGGTGTTTTTAATTTTCAACATTATAATACGTGGCGAGAGTTGATTGTAGTCGTTGTAAATTAAGCGTTATAGTAGCACTATGGGGTTTAGTACAATCATGATTTAACGATAAGGGTTGATCAAAGAGGCTTGGTGAGTTATGAATTTAGTTACGTCAGAGAGGTAGGTTAACGTGCGGAAGGGAGTGGTAGGAGAGCGTGTGGAGGAGAGAGAAGTGAGATGATAGAGGAGAGGTATGAGAGCGTGTGGCAGTAGAGTGAGACGAGAAGGGAAGAGAGCATGTGGAGTGTGATGAGAGGGGAGAGGTAGGGCGTGTGGAGGGAAGTAAAGTGAGATGAGAGCGGAGAGGGAGTAGCGTGTAGAGGTGCAGCAGAGAGATGACCCCGCAAAGGTAGGAGAGTATTTAGAGGTAGTGCATTGAAATGAAAGGGGATAGGTAGCAAAGCGTGTGTGTGGGTGTGTATGAGAGGAGAGGGGAGACGTAGAAAGGGGCAAGACCATGAGAAATCTCAAAA